TATTCAGCGATGGAAGCAAAGTCAGTAGGACACAAGCCTCCCTCCTTCCCTCCCTGACCCCGGCCACGGCAGGGACTTACGTCAGTGGGCTCCCTCTGCTGTCCGAGGCTGCCCCTCAGCCAGCTGCGGCTCAGCTCGCTCAGCTCCGGGATGGGCTGCACCTTGAGCCGCACGTGGTCTCCGGACTGCCGGATCATCTCCACAATCTCGTCCCGTGACTTGTTCTCCACATTCTGCCCGTTGATCTCCACCAGGCGGTCGCCAGGCACCAGCCCCAGGGCCAGGTCCTTGGTGCCCGCCCCGGGTTCGGCAAAGTGCACCACCCGCCGGCAGGCCTGCCCGTCGGGCGCCCGGTCCAGCACGGTTGTTCGCCGAAGGGAGAAGCCGAAATCCCCAGTGGGGCGCCTCTGAAGCTCCAGCTCCCGAGGAGGGGGAGGTAGTGGGGACGCCACGGCGGGCAGCCTCAGGTCAGCAGCAAACCGTCTGCTCACCAGCTCGGGGCCCCGGGTCCTGGAGCCCGGCCACGAGGCGCCGGGGCCGGCCTGTCGTGCCAGCTGGCCCTCGAGGGTGCGAACCTCCACTTGAGGGGAGGGGGCAGCCGAGTGTTCCGAGGGGGTGGAGGTCTCTGAGGCGCTCCCATCGCGGCTCCGCTGGGAGAAGGAAAAGCGCTTGACGATCATCTGTGAGTTCTGCTTGGCCAAGGAGCCAAACTTGGCGGCGCGCTGCAGCACAGAGGGCCGGCCGCCCTCCTCGCCCTTGAGGTCGTCGCTGGAGCTGGCCGTGCTGAGGTGGCCCGAGTCGAGGACGACGCTGCCCCGGTTGCTGTCGGAATCGATATCGGTCAAGTGCAGGTCCGAGCCGCTGGCCACCTTGATGGGGATAGGGTTGGAGATCTCCAGCCTGGTCTTCGACTCCCTCTTGGAGGACCGGTTCAGGTTGAAGAAGCCCCGCCTGAGACTCATCTCCTCCAGGCTCCGCAGCTCGGCCGCGGACATCCGCTCCTTCTTCTCCTTCCTCTCCTTCCTCTCCTTCCGGCTCCTGTCTTTGTCCTTGTCTTTCTTCATCAGGTTAAACATGGTGGGGGTCTTTGGGGTGGGTGGTGGACCCCCCGAGGCTCACAGATGCTCGGCACCGGGCCCCTGCTCTCCAACTCGATGCTGCGAATGGAAAAACAAGTGGAGCGTGAGGAACTCGTGTCCATAGGGAGCCTAGACCCAGGCCCAGCCCCAACCCTGGCCCTACCCTTCTTCTAGGTAATGGAGTGGAAGGGTTGCCTGGTCCCGTCCCTGTCTGTGTTGCTATTATCCTCTCCAAGCCTCAGTTTCCTCAACTGTAAAATGAATTGGACTTCATGGTATCCAAGGTCCCTATCAATTCAATCTGTGAAATTCCAAAGACCAAGAGAGGCAGTGGAAGACAAGAGAGTTTGGGGTCAAAAGGCTGGAAGTCTGGGGACCGGGGGACAAAGCCTGACTCTTCCTTTCACTACTTGGGCGACCTTGGAAAAAAGCAATCTCCTGTGTGACCCCGTGACCACTTAATCCCAATCGCCTAAAAAGAAAAAAAAAAAAGAAAAAAGCAACCTCTGGGTCTCCGTTTCCCCATCTGTAAAATGGGTTGGACCTTCAAGGTGCCATCCAGCCCTAAATGTATGATCCTAAATCACTCGGCCCCCCTCAGCTTTCTCATCTGCAAAAGGAGACCAGACCTACTGGCCTCCAAGGCACCTTGCGGTTTCAGGTCTCTGAAGCTGATCTCCAAAGGAAGGAGCAAAGTATCTGATTTTCTTCTTGCCTTTGGGCTGTCACAAGCTACAGGACTCAGGTAGCTGGAGAAGCACCAGAAGAAATAAGGAGATTCATGATGACAACCAAACATTGAGGGCCAGGAGAAGAGAGAAAAGGATTTCTGCCCACCATCCCCGCTCGACCTCCATTCAACAACCAAGGAAAAAGACAGCAATTACTACTAGGTTCTCTTTCCCAAATCTAGAGGGAAGAATAATCGGTGTTTCCCTTCCCCATGCCCAGCCAAAGCTCCCTACCCCTCCAGGAGCATCTGGCCCCCTCTGACTGCCCCGATCCCACAGCAGAGGCCTGAGATCCCTGAAAGGGAAAAATAAGAGGAAAAGGAAGTTCCCAGCTGAAAGAAACAGCAAACAGCTGGGGGTAGGAGGCCATGTGGTGGGAAGGGTAGAGTCCCCGATAAACAGGATCCTGGAAAACTCACATCCTTTTCCCCGCCATGACCAATACCTAAATATATACCTCAGGAGAACAGAAGTCATAGTTGTGGGGAGCTAGAATGTAGCTCCCACCAGCTTGAGAGAGAAGAGAGGAGAGAGGAAGGAGGCGGGGAGAGGGAGAGAGAGAGGAGAGAAGAGAGAAGGAGGTGGGGAGAGGGAGAGAGAGGGGGGAAGAAGGGAAAGAAGAGAGGAGAGGAGAGAGGAGAGAAGAAGGAGGTGGAGAGAGGGAGACAGAGAGGAGAGAAGAGAGAAGAAGGAGGTGGGGAGAGGGAGAGAGAGAAGAGAAGAGAGAAGGAGAGAGGGGGGAAGAAGGGAGAGAAGAGAGAAGAGAGAAGGGGGAAGGAAGGAAGGGAAAAGGAGCCAAAATGAGGAAGGCCAGTCCACCAGCCCAGGGGCTACCACTCTCCTCTTTCGATCTAGCAGGCAATGAGAAGAAGATCACATTGCTCCACTAGAAAACAGATTCTAGTTATTTTCTCTCCCTCCCTATCAACGCCACCACTTCCCCAGAAAGAAGCAGGTACCATAAACCACCTACCCACCCACTTGATTGCCTTCTGCCTTAGAGACCTCCCCGTTCTTCCTGTGGCCAAAGGGGTCACAAAACAAGAGAATGAGGCATCCCAGCCAAGGAGATCACGCTAGAAGCAGCCATCAGGAATCCCAAGTGCTCAGACTGGCTGGGCCAGCACACTCATTGATTTACTCTGTTGAGGTCCCTCTTCTCCTCAGCTCTCCCCCATCTCACCTCTAATGGGTGCCCTTCATAAGCTAATCAATTGTTCATCCCCTAGGGGAGGAACAAGGTCAGTGCCAGCTGCTGACTACAAGGGTGGATGGCCCTCCCTCCTCTGCCCCTTCATCATTGTTCCCTGGAGAGAACACCTGCTCCAAGTCTGTTGTCCTTTCACCACCACCATCACCATCATCCTGAATCTCAATACTTTCATTCAGTTACAAAAAAACCATCACTGTGTCACCTGTAAATTAGTTCCCTGAACACAAAACAGAAAAAATGCCAGGACAGCTTGTCCCAGGACCCTTTCCAGCTGAGTTCCCCCCAATACAGAGACAAGAATAAAATGATGAAGATGATAAAGGGACAAGTGAAAATGATATCTGGCCTTCATATAGCGGTTCAAAGTTTGCAAAGTGCTTTATGTCCACCACCTCATTCAATCTGCACATCAACCCTGTAAGGCAGGTATAACCAATAGCCCCAATTTACAGATGAGGAAACTGAGACTCAGCAAGGATTTGGAATGAGAGATGACGTCCACCGTGTTCCAAGTCTCCATTGTATCCCAGCCTCATCCTGCCAGGGATTAAGGAGAAGGGGGAGAGGTCTATCAGCACTGAGACTCCCAGGGCCCCTGGGCACATTCCTGAGGAGTCCCAGAGGAATAGGTAGTGTTGGTGTGCTGGCTAAATCCTTCCACACTAGTGCTATTTCAAAGCCTCAAACCTTTGACAGAGTGAAAAGAACACAGAGGACCCTAGTTCAAAACCCACTAGGTGACCTTTGGTCCCTTAACCTCCTTGTCCAAGACACTGCAGTCTACAAACCCATGTTCTCTTGACCCAAGCCTGCTTCCACTTGGTCAGGGCCGGACGCAAGGCCAGCATCTCAGAACCTCCCTCCCCCACCAAAACAACAACAACAACAACAACAAAACTCTAGCATCTCTGGACTGGAAGGAGCCTTGTGAGTTCCTTCCTTCCATCCATCCTCCTGTCCCCTGGCAGCACTCCTGACTAGTCCAACTCCAAGACAGTTTGCTGTCCTTCAAAGAGGTTTTCTCTCAAGTGGAAAGGGCAGCAGAAGGTCTGGACTCTAGCCCTGGCAACAGCCCTGACTGCCTGCATCATCTTGGCAGTCCCTCTACCTCAATTTCCTTCTCTGTGAAATGGGTTTGGGGAGGTGGACAAAATGATCTCTAAGGGCTTTTCCAGCTCTAAAATTCCATGTTTCTTAGTTTCCTTTGGACACAAAGAGGGCACTTACTCACCCATCTGTCACCAAAGGCACCACCCATGTGCCATTCGCCAGGCCTGGGAGAGCCGGGAGATTCTAATTCTGTTTCCACAACCCAGGGCCAACACCTCTTTTCCAGGATGTTTTAAGACCTCATCCACACCCATATCTGTTCCTCAGCCACCTCCGTGGTTTAGACTTTGGGACCTCACTGGTCTAGGTGTTCAAACAACAGCAAAGCCTCTGATTTTACTGGCACAGGAAACGCCCGGGTGTGGAGCTCTCACCACCACCCGTCTACAGCTTAGGAGATGTTTGAGGGAGAGGCCTAGGATGCGGAGAGGTTGCAAAGTTAAATGACTTGCCCAAGGTCACACAGCTGGTGTAAAGGCAGAACCCAGTTCTCGTGGATTGTTTTTTCTACTAGTCACACTGCCTTACAGAGCAAACTCCCACCCAAGGTCGCTACCCAATATGTGTTGCCCTGATCATTAGAATGTAAACTCCCTGAGGAGTTTACTTTTGTGTTTGTAATCCTGGTGTCCGCAGAAGAGGAAGGTGAAAGGGAAGGGGAAGGGGGAAGAATAAGCATTTACATAGCACCTACTATGTTCCAGACACTGCGCTAATTAAGCACTTCTAAAATACTATTATCGTCATTATCATTATTGTTATTATTGTTGTTATCTGATAACAGGCAGGTCCTGTTATCATCCCCATCTTACAGTTGAGGTAACTGAGGCAGAAAGAAGTTAAAAAACTTGTCCAGGGTCACACAGCTAGGAAGTGTCTGAAGCTGGATCTGAACTCAGGTCTTCCTGACTCTAGACCCAGGACTCTAGCCACCGCACCACCTAGCTTCTTAGCACAATGCCTGGTACACAGTAGGTGCTTAATAAACGCATTTTCCATCATTCATCTAGAATGCCAACTCCCAACATTTCAGGCTAGTGGGGACCTCAGCAACCACCCAGACCCACCTATACTCAGAAAGCATCTCCATTGCAACCCACAAGATGTTGCTAAGACCTTCTCTTGAAGACCTCCAGTAAGAGGGGACCCCATTGACTTTTTTTTTTTTGCTTTTTTACAAGGCAATGGGGTGAAGTGACTAGCCCAAGGTCACACAGCTAGTAAGTGTCAAGTGCCTGAGGCTGGATTTAAACTCAGGTCCTCCTGACTTCAAGGCCAGAGCTCTTCCCACTATGCCACCTAGCTGCCCCCTGACCCCACTGACTCTTAAGGCAACTTCATCCCACTTTTGTACCGCTTGAACTGATGATGTCTCTCCTGACCTCAAGCCTAAAATGCCCACTTTTCAGATTTCACCCAGGCCAGTTCTTTTTGGCCAGACTGAACAAGTACAATCCTTCTCCACAGAACAGCCCTTGACGTATTTGAAATTAGTCAAGCATCCCAACTGTCCCATCTCAGCCCATCGCCTCCACTCTTCCTCATTTGAGGCCACAAGGCCCCTGTATCCTGGTCACCTCCAGCTTGATGCTCTCCAGCTTATAAATGACTGATTCCTTTGCCCTCCAGAGTCACCCCAACCCCATGAAGGGACCCCACTGTGGGCCAATGGGAGGGAGGGAGCAGAGCGGGGTGGGGGCGATGGGCCTGCTTGGGAATTCCCTTTCCATTTTGACTCAAAGAATGGCGCGCCCTTGCCTCCTTTGTTACACCACTTTGATCTACAAGAGCTCCTTCCATCTTTACCAGCCTCTAAGTACTTAATGAATCACAGAATCCTGGCCTACAGAAGCTAGAAAGGACCTGAGGGATCCTGGAATTTGAATCTTCATCTACTTTTTAACAACAAGAAGAAACCCACACCAAGCCAACTATTATGTTAACTTAGCATTGATGCTGTGCCATGGGCTCCCCAGAGTCAAGTTAGTTAGTTTCTATGACAAGAGGGTCTGGAAAGAAGGGAA